TCAGCACTATTTAATTCACTAGTAGTTCCCGTGCTGGCGCAAATTGGCAATACAATTAATTATAGGTCAAGCATAATCATTTTTACAATTATAATTTTACTTTCAATCAAGTAGTTTTTTCAATAATTTGTGTTACTTTTAATTTACATACAGTATTGTATTTATTTTCTAAATTCCTAATGTAAAATGAACTAAATACAATGCAAATAATGTAACATTTAAGTGACTAAGTTTTAAAACATGAATGACTAAAAAATTGTTATAAAATTGACAAAGGATATTTTTTATAGTGTAAATCTGAATGTGTTTCAATGCTCGGTATACGATGAGTCGCTTCTTAATAACATATGGCAGTATGATTTGATTAGACGGGGATTAATCACAACATTGGACACCACATTAATTGACTATACCTGGCACACTCAGGCACAGTCGTTAAATTGTTGGAACGGTGATATATAGCCCATGAATTACTTGATGTATTCGCGGTTTTAGATATTTGGTAAAGGTGGTTATGACCTGTGAACCTTTCACAAACTGTTTTTACAAACCAAAACACATAATTAACGTATCATAATGATGTCAATCAGCGATAAATTAATCTATAAATTATACGACAGAAATACAATTAATAAATCACTGCTTCATAACATTTGGGTGTATTTTAAAGGTGAAAATGATTAACCGCTTCTGAAACTTTAAGTATTAATGAACATATATCATACCGAATAAAGCCAGTATGGTAACCACATATAGTAATCTTTACTGAATTACCGTGTTTACCACTTGTCCCTACCCATGAATGTGGACACAATCGATGACTTATTTGATGATAGGCTTGAAGTTTATGCAGATTCTGTTACTTACGATGATTTTCATAGAATTTCATTTAATGAATATTACTCGCGATTTGAGCCCACATTTCAGTTAAAGTTCATTAGACTGTTACATAAATTGCGTGAAATGGACACGGGTGATTTTCTTAATAAATTTCTAAATACTGTGGATACAGCCAGCATCTACAATATTTTTAAGGATATAGTATTTATCACAAATCAAATCTACATGGCTACTTTGCGTAAATTTTTTGATCGCATAACACCCTACCATATCGGTCGACCAGAATTGCCTATTTATATCACAACTCTATGTTATGGACCAGACTTTCAATACGCCAAACAATCTTATCTTATGTATGTCTATATTTGTATGAGTCTTATAAGACAACTAGTATTATAAACTACTTTCTATCTTATGATTAGTTTTCAACGTCTATTTGAAACATCATTTTTCCAGCTCTGGGATAGAGTTAGTGCTGATTATTATTTTGTAATATTTAGTAGACTTTTGGAGAAAAGTGGTGTTTTGGAGGACAAACATTTGGATGATTTATACGTCGGCCGTATCTCTCCCTACGAGACGCTATCTCTTTACAAATTTNAGGACAAACATTTGGATGATTTATACGTCGGCCGTATCTCTCCCTACGAGACGCTATCTCTTTACAAATTTGAATCCCTTTTCCTATTCATTGGCTATTGTTTTGCATTTTGTTTGATTGTTATATTCGTGGAAATTATATATAAATACATTTAGTTGTACATTTTACAATACAAATATTTAAATTTTTAAGACTTGTCACTGTACCTTGACACTGTAATACTACTATAAATAAACTTAAATGTAGTTTTAATACAAAGTTTTATGAAATAGATTTTATTTTAAAAATTTTAAGTTTTTATTATTCACTATAACTTATGTTATTTAAAACAATTTTAATAAATGTCTTAAATTATAAAATAAACCTGATCTACATAATATGTATAATATCTACATAATATTATATTATAATGAAGTGCTGTGATACACAATGAACTATAATTTAATATACGTGAGATAAACTTCATGTATGCATACCTGAGCCCAATATCTAATCCATGTTCCCAACGACCCGTTGTTTGACTGACTTGTTGCAGATATTTATAGAAATCGCTTCATTTAATAAAATTTAATACAATGTTAAGTTAATTAAATGAACACTAATAGTATTGTGATAACCTGGGTTATTGAGTACGCCCTTATCATATACTTATGTTGTTCGCGGAATAAGCAAAATACTTCTCATTCGCTAAAATAAATTGTAAAAATAAAACTAAATACTGAATTAGATAAACACGTTCCCTATAAACCCTTTGTATGGGGTCTAGTATTATAAGTACAGGTATGCATATTAGTACTGGTAATCGTTATATTACAATGGATCCTCATTAACAACATTTGTACAAGCATAATAAAATTATTTTTTTAAATCTATTAAATTTATATTTAATTGTTATTATTTTGACTTTATGTGTACTATCACTTATATAACAAAATGCTGATTTACATAAAGTAATACTCTATTTGTTTAGATTGTTAAGTTTATTTGTCATTAATAAAGGTATTTAAGTTAATTTTTTGTATCAGGGCTAAATCTCGTTGTTTATTATAGTGCATTAAAATCAGATAATGAAATCTTACGATTTTATTTAACATTTTATACATTAGCTAACTTTGACAAAGTTCACATACAATTTACAAAACTTAGGTATAAATAGCCGGGAATACAACTCACAAAATCATAGCAATTGTTGAATGAATTAATTTGTAAAACAATCGCAACTATAATGAAGACCTCAATCGTCTTACTGTTGTCTCTCATCTCACAATACAGTGATGTCTCATGTGTTGAGTTCATAGACTGCGGTTCAGTCGACGGCAAAGTGACGTCTATTGTAGTCCAGGACTGCGGTGTCAGCGATGACTACTGTCCGCTACATATCGGCAAAACCGCCTCAATTGACATGAAATTTACTGCAAGTATAGTATAATAAGTGAAAACTAAATGATTTGAATGAAAAAAAGCTTTAATTTTTCTTAATATACTATAACTAGACGTGGATTCAAACAAAGCCACTGTTATATTGACTGGTATTGTGAGTATAGACATCAATTGAAACCAATGTACAAATGTTTAATACCGTATACCTTGTAGATACCTGGTATAGGACCAATTCAGTATTTAACCGAGTAAGTTATCTAACAACTAAATTACTACTAAATCCTAATTATATCTTATTAATTAAAATTATATCATGGATACAATTACAGGGACGGCTGTAGTGGAAAATACAACCTGAAGTGTCCGATCAAAAAGGGCAGTCAGAATGAGATGAAGTTTGACATGCAGGTGCCCCCTGTGCCGGGTGACATGAAAATTGGCATCCTGGTCGAATTGGTGGATTCCAATGGTA